GCAATATTATTTCCAAAGATATTATCTGTGATACAATTTAAACGTGCTTTGCAAAACACATTTTTCATTCTTTGAAAAAATTATAACAAATTCATTTTCATGCAAATTATTAAAATGTTTCAAAAATAGTGGTATTTCAGGGGCTGTATTTCTTAATTCAAACTGTAGTACATAATAATTTAATAAATTAATAATGAGATAGTCTACATTCTACATAAACACATTTTAATTAAGAAATAAGTCATCCTATCCTGTTATTGTGCCAAATATGGAAATACTTAGCAGAACTTAACGGGTCAAGGGAAGAGGAAGAAATGTTATAAAGAATTAAAAATCTGAGACCCCCACCCTTTTTAATTAAATTTATTGGCGTTACATTGGTTAATTATATAGGTTTCAAGTGTACAATTCTATAATACATCATCTACGAGATATTTCATGATGTGTTCACACCCAAAGTCAAATCTCCTTTTGTCACCATATATTTGACCACCTTTATCCTCATCTACCATCCCCCTTCCCCCTTATCCTCTGGTAGCCACTAAACTATTGTCTGTGTTGATGAGTTTTTGCTTGTTTGTCTTGTTCATTTGTTGCCTTCAGTTTTAACCCTCATACTTGTATGAGTAAAACAATACAGTTCTTGCCTTTTCTGTCTGACTTATTTCGCTTAGCATGATAATCTCAAGATCCATCCATTTGTCAAGTCACAAATGGCAGTATTTCATCCTTTCTTATGGCTGAGTAATATTCCATTGTATGTATGTACTGCATTTTCTTTATCTAATCATCTATCGAAGGACACTGCTTATTTTCATATCTTGGCCACTGTGAATAATGCTGCAATGAACATAGAGGTACATATATATCTTTACAGATAAATGTTTTCAGGTTTTTTTGGTAAAAACCCAGAAGAGGGATTGCTGGGTCATATGGTAATTCTATTCTTAACTTTTTGAGAAACCTTCATACTGGTTTCCATAGTGGCTGTATCAATTTACATTCCCACCAGCAGTGTTAGAGGGTTCCTTTTTCTCCACAGCCTCTCCAACACTTGTTATTATATGTCTTGTTGATGATAGCCATTCTAACAGGTGTGAGGTGGTATCTCATTGTGGTTTTGATTTGCATTTCCCTAACAGCTAGTGAAGTTGAGCATCTTTTCATATATCCATTGGCCATGTGTAAATCTTCTTGGGAGAAGTGTCTGTTCAGGTCCTGTGCCCACTTTTAACTGAATTGTTTGTTTTTTTGTTGTTGAGTTTTATGAATTTTTTAATATATTTTGGATATTAGCCCCTTATTGGAGGTGTTGCTTGCATTTATCTTCTCCCATTCGGTTGGTTGCTTCTTTGTTTTGTTGATGGTTTCTTTTGTTGTATAAAAGCTTCTTATTTTATTTTTTAAAATTATTTATTTAAGTTATATTTGACATTCAATATTATTTATATTAGTTTCAGGTATACAGCATAGTAGTTAAACATTCATATAATTTATGCACTCGTTCCTTTGATTGGTCTAGTACCCACCTGGCACTATACATAGCTGTTGTAACATTACTGACTATATTTCTTATGCTTTACTTTACACCCCCATGACTATTTTGTAACTACCAATTTGTACTTCTTAATCCCTTCATCTTTTTCACCTCACCCCCATCCCCCTCCTATCTGGCAACCATCAGCTTGTTCCCTGAATCTATGAGTCTGATTCTGTTTTGTTTGTTCATTGATTTTGTTCTTTAAATCCCACATATAAGTAAAATCGTATGGTATTTGTCTTTCTCTGTCTGACTTCTTTCACTTATCATAATACCTTTTAAGTCTATCCATGTTGTCACATATGGTAAGATTTCATTCTTTTTATGGCTGAGAAATATTCCATTGAATATATGTACCACACTTTCTTTATCCAGTCATCTATTGATGGGCACTTAGATTGCTTCCATATCTTGGCTATGGTAAATAATGCTGCAATGAACATAAGGATGCATATATCTTTTCGAATAAGTATTTTGGATTTCTTCATGTAAATATCCAGAATTGGGATTGCTGGGTCATATGTTGGTTGTATTTTTAATTTTTGAAGAATCTCCATACTGTTTTCCAAGATGGCTGCATCAGTTTGCAATCCGACCAGCAGTATATGAGGGGTCCCTTGTCGCCACATCTTTGCTAACACTTGTCGTTTGTTGATTTATTGATGATAGCCATCCTCACAGTTGTGAGGTGATACCTCATTGTAGTTTTAACTTGCATTTCTCTAATGATTGCAGAAGCTTTTTTTAGTTTGATACAGTCCCAATTCATTTATTTTTGCTTTTAGTTCCCTTGCTTTTGAGGTCAAATTCATAAAATCCTTTCTAAGACCAAGGTCCTGTGTTTAGTATCTATGTTTTTTTCTGCAGAATTTACTGTTTCAGGTCTTATATTTAGGTCTTTGATCCATTTTTAGTTAATTTTGGTGTATGGTGACAGCAGTCTAGTTTCCTTCTTTTGTACATGGCTTTCCAATTCTCCCAGCACCATTTATTGAAGAGGCTTTCTTTTCTCCATTGTATGTTTTTGGCTCCTTTGTAAAAATTATTTGTCCAAATATATGTGGGTTTATTTCTGGGTTCTCAATTCTGTTCCATTAGTCTGTGTTCTTCCAATACCATGCAGTTTTGATTACTGTCGCTTTGCAGTATAATTTGAAGTCAGGGAGCATGATACCTAGGGCCTTATTCTTTTTTTCTCTCAGGACTCCTTTGACTATTCACATGACCCTTTCTAAATTATCATCCTTTGGAGTTAATCAAGAAAAGTGTTTCCTATAATAACACCAAATTAGTTCTTTATCTTTCAATATGATCTAATGTAAGCCACATTATATTACAATCATAGAAAATAATTTAAACTACTATTTACTTCAAGTGCTTATGCCAATGGTCACCCAGATGGTTAACAGAAGCAAAACAAACAAACAAACAAACACAAAACCAGGTTTGCCAATTACCTTTTATATTTTTTTATTAATATCACATGAACCTTCTTGGACTATCCTATTAATGGCCTTAGCCACATCTTGAGATGAATAAAAAGTAATCTACATGGTACCCCTACTTCTATAAACTCATTTTTCACAAGTTACTAGATCAGTGCGCTAACAGCTGTCCTTTACATAATGAAATTCACCTAAAGTAACAATAACAAAAACAACAACATTTATAGGGTGCTGGCTATGTGTCAATAACTTTATCCATGATTTAATTTAATTCTCCAACAATCCCATGAGGTAGGTACCTTTTTCATTCCTAGTTACAAATGAGAAAAGTAAAGTTTAGAGAGGTTTAAGTGACCTGCCCAAGGTCACACAGCTATTAAATGGTAGAATTGGATTCAAACAGATAGACCTATTTCAGGGGCCACATCACCAGCCATGCTGCTACATTACTTCTATATAAAAACACTCTTATTGCCTATAGCATTTAATCTCAACTCTTTTCTTTGGCTTTAAAGGCCCCCAAATCTGATCTAACTGTAATTTTGCTACACTTCATTGTATACCATGAAGTATACATTGGACTTACTGTTCTCTTCTACACATGTTCTTATATTATTGTTATTCTACTCCTAAAATAGCCTACACCATATATTTTACCCTTATTAAGGATATAGTTCATTTTAAAGAAATAGGCTCTCATGAGTATTTACCTTTTGATAAATAAATTTAAATAATTTGCATTTATTATGGCAACCAGGCCTTCCTAGGTTCAAATCCTGACTTCATAACCACTATTTGTGTGACTCTGATTACTTTATTTAACACTCCTCTGCCTCAGGTTTCTCACAATTAAATGGGGATAATAGTAGTACCATCTAGTAGTGTTAGTGTGATGACTAAATGAATTAATGTAAAGTTCTTTAAAGTTCTCAGAATGCTTTCCTACTTGTTTCTTCACTGTGTCAAGGAGCTTTCATGACTGATAATGCTTCTGCTTCAAATTAAAAAAAAGTAGTTAGAATTTATAGTAAAATAGTATACTATAGTATTCTGATAATCACAGTTGATTAATAGCAATTATAATCTATATATAAAAGAAAAACTTTAAATTCAGAAAACACTACAAAGCTGAGATTTTTTTTTTTAAGGTAAAGGAAAAAGGAACATAAGGTTGCTAGAACAAGTCTTTTTGGAAAAGATTGGATATTGCAATGGACTGAAAGTTTGTGTACCCCAAAATTCGTATATTGAAAACCTAATCCCTGATATAATGATATCTGTGAATGAGGCTTTGTGGAGGTAATTAGATCATAAGGGTGAAGCTTCCTTGATGGACAAGTAGTGCCCTCAAGAAGAGACAGGACAGAGCTTGCTTCCTCTCTCTTTCCTCTCTGCTTTATGAGTATAAGGACAGCAAGAAGATGACCATCAGCAAACCAGGAAGTGGGCCTCAGCAGTTACCAGATCTACTGAAACCTGACCTTGGATTTCCCAGCCTTCACAAGTATGAAAAACAAATGCTTGTCATATAAGCCACCCAGTCTATGGTAAGTTGCTATAGCAGCCTGAATGAATTAAGACAAATCTTTTTGATGTTAGTGAGTAAGATACATGAAGTTCTAGGAAGGCTACCTTTCATATTTGAACAAAGAAGATGTTTAGGTTGACTATCACGTTCTCTATATTGAGGGTAAACAGCAGGAGAAAAAAAAATCACAAAACTGTTTTCTTTCTAAAGTCCTTTAGAGCCCTAGTCAAACCTTGTCCAGATGCCACATTCTGCAAGGTTTACAAGTATATGCTCCAAATGGCTCAAGTAAATCTATGTAAGATATTCCATAGTTTTTGTTTCCCTTGGATCCTTCATCAGCCAATTAATTTGTATATGGCTTATGCTAGTTTAACTTGGGTTTTCTATTACTATTAAAACAACAAGATTTCTGACAAATGTATACATGATGGGAGAGTCACTTATAATAATGAAATAAAACCACATATATTTAGTATCAGCTTACCTTTTGGTTTAATAAAGCACTTGCCAATTTTTGTACTTCTGAACTCAGTAAGGTAGTTCCTCTGATGACTTTGCTTAGAGCAGCAAGAGACTGATGAACACTTTGTACCAAGTGAATGGCATTAAATTGTTCAAGAACGATGAATGATAATATTGGCGATCCTTGTCGATCATTAGGAGGAGATACTTTCAGATGAATCAGGTTTGAATTCTAAAAGAATAATATGTCATATTTACTGAAAGTAATGTAAATCACTGATATATTAAAACACTTCAAAAGTTATTACAACCTGTTGTTATTGTAACCTGTTTTTTTGAAATACTCTTGTTTTATGAAAGGTTCAATTTATGAAATCTGCAAATACACAGAAAGGGAATTCTGGAGTTCACCAATATTTAAGTGGTAAAGGGGTGGGAGCTGAGAAAGGGGAACCAAATTGAGAAGCAGTGGTCTATATACAGTAGGCAATGTGAAAAGAATGGCACCCTATAAGCCAATGAAAAGAAAGCAGAATAGCTACACTACCACTCTACCACAATAAAGAGAGCACAATAATGGCTTTGAAATAAAATGTGAATGGACATTTAATTTGAAAATTACCTGCATGTATATTATAAAACCACACTAAATACCTTGTACTCAAGACCAGTAAATATTAGTATTTATTTCTACATCTATACATTAAGAGAAGCTCTGATATAGGGAATTTCTAGGGCCTCTCAAATCATTTTTAAAAAAATCAAGGAATCCCAGTTGTTTCTAAACAGCCTAAGTGGTTAAGAGGGAAAAAAATTACCTTTAATAATATTCTAAAAGTGTCGAAGAACTGTCAAGAGATAAAATTGGGAAGTTCTGTTCTCTTACCTACTATCCATTATCCCAATTTTCTCTATATTTTCTGTTTACAGTTCAAGTTAAGGATCTCTTTTCTTTAACAGTTGTCACATTCATATGTTCTATGAGAGCACTGTCTCCTATTCATCTACCTATGTGGCACGATAAATAATTTAATAACATGATCTAGGATGCCTATTGCCACAAATCACCATTAAATAAATTTAGTTGAAGATAAATTTTTAGGCTATGAACTCATATTTAGGCATTGTTATTTCTATTACTGGTATATTTAAAATATTAATGCTGCTGAAATCATTTTTGAAACACATACATAAACATACAATAATGTACACACTAAAATAAATAATTGGTGGTAAACTCAAAACTGAATCTAGAAGAGAATAAAAGTATAGCATTATCAAAATTAAGTAGATTACCCCTTAAATTGAAATTAACTATTTGTATCAGAGCATGGTTAATACATCTCCAACCTAAACCAACTAAGTAATAAAACTGACAAAATTTGGGTTATAGATTCTCCATAGTTCCTTATATTAAAACAACATCTTTGGATGTGAATAATACGTGGTATATAAATATTTATCAAATTTTTATCTTATACTAAGCAATATTAGCAAATGATTTAGTTTACTTAAAAGGAGATTTTATGGACTTTTATCCATTCTATTAAGTGATGTGACCACTTTGCACTGTTACTTTATAGAACAGAAACACCCAAATTGAGATCATTCAAGCAAGAGTCCATTTATCTACAATCCAAGGAAAGTACTGAACTTTTAAAAAGGTTTATTTAGGAGAATGCCAACCAAGAATACTTAAAATTCAAAAAGAGGTCAAGTAAACACTATGGTCTAGAGATGTGTAGTTAGTGTAAAATGCAAGCTGGATTTCAAAGACTTAATATAAAAAAAGGATGTAAAATATCACATTAATAATTGTTATCTAATTACACATTGAAATGTTAATATTTTGGATATATCAGGTTAAATAAAAATGTATTATTAAAATTAATTTCACCTGTTCATTTGCACTTATTTAAATGTGGCTATTAGAACATTAAACTTACACATCTCCCTCCCACTTGTGTTTTGCATTACATTTCTGTTGCACAGTGTTGGCCTAGAGACTTCAAGTAAAAGGCTGTCAGTTCAGCAAGAAGAGCAGAACAGAGTAAAAACTAGCATACAGTTGTGTCTCAAAGTGTGTTTGATTTATGAAAGGTGAAAAACATTGTGAAGAAAAAAAATGAAAACTAGTAATGCAAACTGAACTATATAAAATATAATAAAATATTATGTATTATATATTATATAACTATAATAAATTAACAAGTGGGAAAAATATAACAGCAGAAGATAGCAAAGTATATTGCAATATTTTTATAACATGAGAAGAGGCTTGGAACTAAGGTTGTATATGGAGTCATGCTGTGAAAAAATTTTACTTAGGAAAATTAATGTGATAATGATATGAAATATGATTTGGAGGAAGTAACTATTAGAAGCAGAGTCGAATTTAGTTTTCTGCAATAATCCACATGAGAAAGAATACAGGCCTAAATCATGGCAATGGCTTCAGGAAAGAAACAGAAGAGATAAAAACAAAACAGTATAACAGGATGAAGTGAAACACGCTTGATAGATTAGTTTGGCCATTATGAATTTAATATAATAACTTTTAAAAGAATCTATATGTTCATATGAAGTTAAAAAGTCGTGCTTGTTTCTGGCAAAAAAAAAAAAAAAAAAGGCAAACTATCTCCCACTTCTGAATCCTGTCTTTGATAAAACAAGAGGATACTGAACCCAGAAGATGGCACAACAAGAATGGGAAACATCTGGGAGACAGAAAGTGTTGGGTACTTATTAAGTGGGAGGATAAGGTAACCTACAGTTGATAAAGTAACCATGGCTGGGGAGAGTTTCTGATTGCAAACTTTTCACATTACTCTGAACGGATCATTGTCCACCATGTCAGGGCTAAGAAAAAGCAGTATCAAGCACCAGTTACAAACAGCAGGGTACCTGATGTTACATGCAGGTAGTCCAGCTGGTGTGGAAACACACTGAAACGGGTATAAGTGGTAAGTCTGGCTTTTGAAATTTTAAACTCTCACAGTATCAAACTGAACAGATTGCCCCTACCCCAAAAAATCCATACCTGTATATAATGGTAAAATTTAAGGAGGGCAGAGAAAGAATATTCTAAAGAAAAAAATTAGTTTTAAAAAATAAGAATCAGATTAGCAGAAAACTTCTTCAATAAAAAGACAAATATTTTCTGAGAATATTGTTTTTAATTAAAATTTATTGGGGTGACAATGGTTAGTAAAATTACATAGGTTTCAAGTGTACAATTCTGTAATACATCATCTATATATCACATTGTGTGCTCACCACCCAGAGTCAGTTAAGAATAATATTTTCTAAGAGTTCAAGGAAACGAATTAGGAAGCTAAAAGTGGATCTGTAGCTATACTATCAGTCTATCAGTTAAATGTGAAGATGAAATAAAGATATTCTCAGAAATGTTAGTACACGAAGAACAACATTTAAAAATAATGTTTTGCAATTGCCTTAAAATTAGAGGTTACTACTCCCTCTGAGCCAGATACCACTGATTCTTTTCATTTTAATGAAATGCAATTTTCAGACCACTGAGAAAACTGTTAACGATTCACATGCTGTTTATTTCCCCATTAAAAGCAGTGTTTAAATTATATTTATTTGGTGTTAGCCTTCCACTTGAAAACAAAAATCTGAAGTATGTAAGCAGTCTCAGCCATCAGAATTGCCTGAAAATCTCACTCTTCTTAGTCTCCCAAAGGCTTACCTCTTAGCTCCATGAGCAAGTGAAAATATTTCTCTTTAAACAAACAGGAAAGCCCTTTCATTAATTAGAGAAAGGTAACGGAGCCTGTCCCAGAGTGAAAAAACTTAAAGCAGGGAACTTCATGTATATTATTCATTCTCACAAAGAAAATAAAAAAACAAAATGATTTCTGGCATATCTTATTAAGGAATAATGATCATAAATTTACCAATACATATGTTCTATTGCTTGTATGAAATGAAGCAATTCGGTTGCGGTGGGGGGAAAGCAAGGTGAGGTGGGGTTGGAGACATAGAAAGAATGCTTAGAATTACTGAAATAGACCATTATAAATATTTGGGTCATAAAAATCAAAAGACAAAGACGTTTGTACTAAATTTTAATGAAGTTAGAACAGTCTGAACAGTATGTGCCTATATCTGCAAGAAAAGAAGAGGGAAGAATTACCCCGTCCTATGAAAAAATAAAAGTAACCTCACAAGTTATTAAAGCAACTGTTCCCCCAAGACATGAAGGAGAAAAAATTCATTATTTGTGTTTTGTATACTCATACTGGTGTTAAATGTTGTGTGCAAGAATGTAAAAGGATTAGTTTTATTTTTATGTTTCAGACTTTTAAAAACAGAATTATGTAACAAAATGACTTTTTCCCTCTAATACCAGTAAATGTCATCAAAAGATTAAAAATGATATACTTATTCAATAAAAATACTATTAAATTTTGGTTAAAATTATATGTTAGTCTAATCTCTGCTATACTTTACAGAAGATAATACAATAAATCTCTGGGTTTAGAAGTATTAGAGACAATAAAATGGAGTGTTAAGCTCAAGTAGACTCTCCCTGTATCTTGATTTTGCTACCTATCCAAAGGTAAATTAAACATACTTTATTTTCTTTAAAAAAAACATTTTTATTGAGATACACTTCACATGCCACATAATTCACCCATTAATAGTGTACAATATATTTCTATTATTTTCACAGAGTTGTACAATCATCACTATAATCAATTTTAGAATATTTTCATTATTGTGAAAAGGTTCCCCAGTCCTCCTTCACCCCTGGTCCCCATTGTCCACACTAACCAACCACAAATTTACTTTCTGTTCTAGGGATTTTCCTTTTCTGGACATTTCATTAAAATGGAATCATGCAACATGTGGTCTTCTGTGACTAACTTCTTTGACTTAGCATAATGTATTCAAGGTTCATACATGTAATGTTTATCAGTATTTCTCTCTTTTTTTTCTTTCTTTGTTTATTGGGATAACAGTAGTTAGTAAAGGACCCAGCAATCCTTCTGGTTATCTACCCAAAAAATCTGAAAACATTTAGCCATGAAGATATATGTGCTCCGATGTTCACTGCAGCTTTATTTACGGTGGCCAAGACATGGAAACAACCAAAGTGTCCTTCGATAGATGACTGTATAAAGAAGATGTGGTATGTATAAACAATGGAATACTATTCTGCCCTAAAAAAGATGAAATAGTGCCATTTGTGACAACATGGATGGA